ACTAAAAATACAAAAAATTAGCTGGGCATGGTGGTGCGTGCCTGTAATCCCAGCTACTTTTTTGTATTTTTAGTAGAGACGGGGTTTCACCATGTTGACCAGGATAGTCTCGATCTCTTGACCTCGTGATCCACCCGCCTCGGCCTCCCAAAGTGCTGGGATTACAGGCTTGAGCCACCGCGCCCGGCCACATGGATAGACTTTGAAAATCTTATGTTAAGTGAAAGAAGGCAGACATGAAAGGCCACAGGGTATATGATTCCATTTACATAAAACTTTCAGAATAAGCAAACCCACAGTGACAGAAAGCAGATTAGTAGCTGCCCTGGGCTGAAAGGAAGAGAAAGGAAGCAGTGAGTGCCTAATAGATAAGGGGTTTCCTTTTGAGGGGATAAAAATATTCTGGAACTAGACGGTGGGGGTGGTTGCATGACACTGTGAATGTACCACGTCACAATTTCATTATATATATATATTTTACCACAATTAAAAAAAAAAACAAAACTCAATATCTGTCTAGGCCCAGGTAGATAGTAGAAGTTAATGAACCTAGCCAGTCATGAAACTGAGGCAAACTGGACAGTGGAGATCCCCCTTAAAGAGGACAGCTACTATGCAAATCCAGCTGGTAGTTCTGGAGAAAGAATTTGAGCCCCTTGTTGCCAGATTTTTCAATCTTCCAAGAAAAGTAAGGATCAAATTTGAATGCATCTATAAGTCTCTTGGTAATCTTGTTAAAATGCATATTCTGACTCAGTAGGTCTATGGTAGGACCCAAGAACATGCATTTCTTTTTTTTTTTTTAAACTTTATCTTTAGAGTACTATTAAGTTCACAGTAAAACTGAGAGGAAGGTACAAAGATATTCCATATGCTCCCTGCTCCCGTGGATACATATCCTCCCCCATTATTAACATCCCCAACCAGAGTGGTGCATCTGCTACAAATGATGAAGCTAAATTGACACATCATCATCCCCCAAAGTCCACAGTTTACATTAGGGCTGCTCTTGGAGTTGTACATTCTGAGTTTGAACAAATGTATAATGTCATGTGTCTACCATTACACTAAAGAATGTGCATTTTTTTTGTTTTTTTTTTAAGACAGCAATTCTCAGCTTTTTCAAATATGAAGCATTTTTTAACCAATCCATTTATTTAATTCTTAAATCCTTGACATTACAGAACTATATTGAAATTTATTAACGTTCTACTCTTACATTTCTTATCGACAAACAGAAATAAAATTCATGAGCCAAAAAACCCAAAACAAAACTAAAAACAGGGACAAGCTTATAAAACTAAATATGGATCCCAGCATTAACAGCTGAACAGAGAATGCAATTTTTAAATTTTAGTGTATGATAAAGTTGTGTAGAAACTGCATACTTACAAATTGTTTTGAAATGCCATTATCTCTGGTGGTGCTGTGGCACCACAGATCATACTTGGAATGATAAGCATCTAGATTGCAGGTTCCCAAACTTGACTGTACCAGAAAGCACTGGGGTATTTAATAAATACCAATGCTTAGGCCTCACCCCCAGGGATTCTGATGTCATAGGGTCAGAGTGAGCTCTAAGCATCAGGATTTTGTAAAGCCCCCACAGCCCAACCCCTGGTCATTCTAATGGGCAGCAAAGTTTGGGAGCCCGCACACTAGATGACCCCTGTGGACTCCACAGCTATAATAATCTCTGAGGCTGTGAAATATTTCCAGAGGACAAGATAAGAGTTTTCCCCCAAGGTAACCTATTGGAAATAATTTGTCCAGAGAACCTCCTCCCCAACAAAGCATTCCAAGCCTCGATGCTGGAGAATGTGACCTACAGCTCAGATGCTGTACAGGCCCTAGATTCTGTAACTCTTGGCAGCTTTTGTAACTGTGGTCTTCCTTTGCCTGTAA